GAAACGTGGAAAATATTTTCTTGCTAGCAAAAATAAATAAAGAATCATATAAAGTTTTAATATTCAATATTTGCGGTCTATATCGCAAAAATGGTTCATTTAAAAAACATAGCTTTTATATCCACTTTTATAACTTTTATAGCCTTAGCCTATTAATTATCCTTAAATTCAAAACCTTACAGATTCTTGCACTTGAATGAGTTCGCAAATTATAATGGTTCAAAGTTGATTTTATTCTAAAAACCTCATTTATGTTTAAAATTTCGTCAAAAGTTATTTTCTTTATTTGCACTTGAGCACTTTTACTCTCTATTAACTCGAGGTGTCTTCAAAACCCCTCTTTACGCCTTGACTGGATTATTGTTTATCACTTAATCGATATCTTATCTTGCAAGTACTTCTTGATAAAGAATATTGCTTCTATCATTCACCTTGTGCTTTTATAATTCACTTTTCCTTTTAGAAGCTAAATATTGATTTTTTTTTTTACATAAGAGAAGATGTAAAAAACTTCATATTACGGTTAAAACTAGTAAGAATTTGAAACTAGTAACAATAATTTTTATTTACTTAATTTGGCACAAGGAAAGTTTTTATATATTCAAAAAGTACACATGAAGACAACGCCGCTTACCCACTAATTTAAATATTATTATTAATAACTGTATTTTCAATACAGTTAATATATAGAACTTAGCCTATTCACATAAATCCGTAACAAAGTTTTTCCATAGTTTACGATTTCGTGCCATAAATCTCAGTCCATTTATAGTTCTTGACGTTTCATTTGTGATTGTTCTACGCCGTGTAAATACTCCAGTAATTTAGTGGGGTGTTTCAAAAATTTTATGTAAAAATAATTAAAGAATTCATCATATGTCTAAAATAATCCGAAACAATTTAAGGAGGCTTTAAATCATCTCCTTTGCAAATACAACTGTATGGAAATTTAAAAAGAAAGCGTTTTTACAAATGGAAACATTCAAGAAGATTGTACAGACATCCTAAAGGAATATCACTTTACAGAAACAATAAGTTTGCCTATTCATCCAAATATCGAAAATAAAGTTATTAAAGAAGTTATAGAAGTTATTAAAGTAATTGTCAATATACAACATGACCTCAAATATTTCTTTTTGGAAAGAATTGTTGTTTATATTGGAATTTTTATTGTATCATTGATATTAAAACGATTGATCCAGCTTTCAAAACAGTTGCTTTGCATTAAATTGGCACAGACTCATCTGCACTCAATTAAACATCTAGCACTCAATATTAGAATAAGATTCATCCTTACAAATGCAAGCATAAAAATTATTATACAAAAATATTATTATGGAAAAGTTTTTATTAAGGCTATGTGAAAGATACTTAAGAAATTGTCATATTATTTCTAGAAGAGTATTCCAAAGTCATTAATTTTGTAATTTGGTATAGAATTAATACCGTTAGTGTCCCTTATTTTCTACAAGGCATTCAATCGTACAAAGATTAAAAAAACAAATAATTAAAATTGTTGATTTTCTTACTATTCTTATTACTCTTCTATATGTCTCAT